AAGAAGCACAGTCAGTCAGTCAGTCTGTCTGTGTGTGTATTTTTTTTTTGTTTGTTTGTTTGTTTTGAAACAGGGTCTATGTAGCCTTGGCTGGTCTGGAGCTCATTATGTAGCCCGGATTGGTCTTCTGAAACCAGAGATAAACCTGCCTCTGCCTCCCAAATCCTGGGACTAAAAGGGTGCTCCACCACACCCTGATCTGGGTTTATATATTTTCTAATAGGGTGTGGAGTAGGGGTGGGTTCTTTTTCAGTTGGACCAGGTACCATACATTTTGTTAATTCGTCGAGTCATTTTGAAGGTCTGCAAGACGTGACTAAGAAGGGTGGGGACCTTTAAAATCGGGAAAAGCTCACCCCGTGCATTATCTAATGGCAGCCTTGAGGTTGGGAGGGGAAGGAGTTAGCTTAGCCAAGCCCACCTTTTGGGTTATCTGTGGCTGGCTGGGGAATAGGGCAGGGAGTTAACCTGCTGGCTGGGAGTTAGCTCAGAGGCCTTTGGGAGGGATAAAAGCTTCTGCAACGAGGTTCCTTTTGTGCAAGGGCTCATCTCCATCTAAAGTGGAAATGCAGAGAGGTCAGTGTGATCTCGTCTAGGACCTGTCTCTTTAACTGTCTACCTATTTAAGAATGAACTATCTCCCATCTTCCCACGATTCCAGTTTGTATCAGAAATAGATACAAAAGTTGCAGCCCCCTCCATGCATAGATGTTTTGTTTAAATAAGAAAACAGTAGTTTAATCACCATGGAAAGGCAAATTCTTGTCTTTCACGAAGACACAGAAATGAGCGTGTGTTAGGGACTTTAGTCAGTTGGTGCCAGCGAAAGGAGCCATTCAACAGCACACATTTTTTACAGAGCTAAAGAATTGAATTGCAAACGGAGGGAAAACTGGTTTTTCCACAGGAGGGAGAAGTCAACCAAAGTGCTCCCGAGACTGGGCAGTTTGCACAGTCATCAGCGTAGAGAGAGGGGCCAGCCCAGATGACTGAGCAAGGTAAGGCGTTTGCCACAAAACCTGACACGTGAGTCCTATCCCCAGATCCCACCTACTGGAAGGCCAGAACATACTCCTGCAGGCTGCCCTGATTTCCCCATCCACACAAGCTGTGTGCACGCCCCCTCGTATATATAAACGTATTAGCAATTTTTTAATCGTGAAAAGAGGCTCCAAACAGTAAGCGGGACTTGGTGCAGACATTTCGGACAGTGTCAGGGCTTCAGGGAACAGAAAGCCCTTGCATCAGAATATTTAAATAGTTATCTGATTCCCCCCCCCCCCCATAAGGTTCCATGCTTCTGAGCTTTTCCAAATGTCACCCCTTATTGGACACAACAGGTTTTTGGTAATCTGTAGGCTTTTTCACACAGAAGCAAACACAGTTACCACAAGTCTGTGAAGAGAATGGAGGGGACAGATGCCGGGGAAGCCCGTCTGGAGTAGGGGTTAGGAGCATAGGGTTCCAGGCGATCCCTGTCACACAATAGCCGTGGGATCCTTCTGAGACTTCATTTCTTCCTTTGAATATAGTATTGAACGCTTCCCAGTACCCCGGGTTGCTACACCTAGGAACAGGTTTCCTTTGTAAAGGCTAGGATTCCTTAAGTGGTCTCCTTTAGTTATGCAAATATGCCAGAGGAGGCAGCCCTGCTCTGGGCAACTGGGGCGGCCTTTTGCTCCCTTTCAAGTCCCCTTTGAATTCAGAGCTGGTAGCTGTGGACAGAAACTTTTTGCTGTTGAGGCCTTCTGTCCTTGGTAAGAAAATCCTTCCTCCAACACACACAACCTATTGCTATCCCAAATCAGTTTGGGGACTGACTAAAATATACTGCCATCAAAGGCCTGAAAGTTGCTACTGTATGAAGGCGTTTATGGAGTTCATCCAGAAACTCCTGCTCCCGGGTCCTCAGCATCCAACTGTTTGCTCTTTGGTGGAGGATGGCTGCAATGGCGAGTGTGAAAGAGACGGATACTTAAATGTCTGAAGCGCAGGTTTCACTGCAGTCTGCGTGGCCTCAGGAGCCCCCGAACTGCGCAAGCCCGCTCAGCAGCGCCCCTGTGTGGAGCGACAGCGAGCAGCTGGAATTGCATGTTGAGAGTTTGCAAAGGAAATTTGGGAGTAAGGTCCAAGAGGGAGCTTGGATTCCCGACAAGGGTATGTAAGAGTTTACATTGGACTGTAAGCCGATTTTGCTAAAGTCAAAGTCATACAGATTATACATGCAAAATGTTCCCAGCGGCTCTACAATTATTACCATTACTACTACTAACGCCCATCCAGAAAAAGATGGTAAACACTGGTCGTTCTGTTCCCTTCTGTGGGGACTCACCAGAGGGTCTAGCGCTAACCGGATAGGTCAGCTGGGCCTTGCTGGGTCTCCTCGCTCAGTCTACTCCCATTAGGTCGTCAAAACAGTCTTAAGTATTTCTGAAGCTCGCCACCCCTTTCAGAAACTTTTTAATCATTTAAAAACTTTTCAGTAGCGCTGGAGAGATAGAGGGGTAGGTAGAGTCTTGTCTAAGCACTCGGAAGCCCTGACTTCAGTCCCCAACACCCTATAAATTCCGCATGGTAAGCACACGCCTGTTACAGGGTTAATTACCTAAAAGTCTCGGGTGGGCTGAGAAACTTGGACAGGGGAGTCCCCTAACACCTGTAGAAGCTTCCAGACTGGGGAGGGGGGTGGCTGTCCTGCAGACTCTTCCATCCCAATTCTCCCTTTTCATATCCCATAAAACCCCCAAGACCCCCAGGCCATATCCTCACCGTCTTACTTCTGGAGGGACTGTAGTCCCCCAGCAGCCTTTCTGATTAAAGAACAATTCTGCTCCAGGAGATGCCTGTTATCCTTGATTTCCACATTGCCTCCACCCGTCTTACACCTGTAATCCCAGCCGCCTGGAAGTGGCTATCCTGGCAAATCATGGTGAGTCCACATCCAGTCTGGGGTACCTGAGACTTTCAGGAAGGAACCTTTTATTAAACCCGTTAGACCTTCCTTGTTGTCTTTTGTTGTGCAACCGTGGTGATGGGACACACCTCTCTACTAGGAAAACAAGACTTTAGTGAAAGTGCCTGAATCTTCTAGAATAACTTTTTTTTTTCTTCATACCCGTTTCCCAGTGACCAGCAATAAAGGTGTCCTTTAGAGACAATCTGGATGGAGAAGGCTGGGGACCCACACACTCATTAAAAAAAAAGCCAAGGGCAACAGCAAAATGGCTGCAGGGCCTGCAGGCTGGGCACCCTGTTGGTGGGGTGGGATCTGGACCTGTGTCTGCTTGATGTGTTCTTAATAGTTCACAGCCTGCAGAGAGCACCCAAAAGAGATAGATGGGGGCTGATGGGAGAGATAGACCTGCATGGTGCTAGGGAAGATCCAGTTTGGTTGGTCTTCTCTCAGCAGAGCCAAACAGTGACCCAGGGTCTACACACAGCCCGGAGCTAAGAAGCACAACTCTTCATTCTCTCAGACTAGGGTAAAGGCAGTGTCCAGAGAATACGCCTGAGCCCGAGAGTCAGAGCTAATTAATCCGTGAACTGCACGAACCTCTCTCTGCTCAGCCCCTGACCAGTCAAGACTGGACAATACCTGTTCTGGTTCTGAATTCCTTCTATCAGATAACCAGGGTGGGAACTCTTGGAGGGGGGTTTTCTTTGATCCAGGAGCTACTTGGCCTCCCCTAGTCCTGACTGGATCTGTTGTGGATGTCCTAAGCCTTGGCTGTATAGCCTGGTCTGATGTGTTCCTATCACTTCTGGACCCAAGAACAGGATTGGTTAACAAACTCAGCTGGGCACCTCCTCCTTCTTTCCTCCAAATTCCAGTCTACCACAGGCAAAGGTCCTCCAGTCCTTTAAGCAGTAGATACAAAGCTCAGTGAGCTATTGCCAGGGTTGCGGAACGTGAGCATCTCCCTTCTCCCTTCCCCCTTAGGGGTTCCTTGACCTCCCACCTGCCTGCACAGCCCTGGGCTCCAGTGAGGGAGCCTAACCAGAGGCAAAGCCTCACATTCAGGCTGTGCAAGGGTCAGAAGCCCGCAGGACCCACAGTGTGGGCAGGCTACATCTACTTAAGAGTCTACAGGACCCAGAGACAAAGTAAAGCAATGTACAAGGACCTCACAACTACTGGTCTCTGCTGCCTTACTGTCAGGATCAACTGCAGACACTTTCATAAAACCTTTAAGGCCTGAGATCCAGGCCTGCTTGGCACCTAGCTGCACCCCCAGCCAATCCACCTACCACCCTTGCTCTGATTAAACCATGCCTCGGCCTGGCCCTTAGATGTGGCTACACACATACCCCCGAACTTGGCCCTTCAATGTCTGTCTCCCACTGTTCTCTGCCGCTGTTCTGGGGGGGTAGGTGGGTGTCTGGGAACTTTGAAATAGAGGTGCTCATGGCCCTCTGCCTCTTGCGGGCCCAGGCTCCACAAAAGGGTCCCACAGTGTTGCAATCTCAAAGATCTTCATTTCTGGGGACCAGGCATGCATATTTGCAATGAGCTCTGCACATAATTTAGCCAGTCGACAAGACAAGGGGTAGGAAGACCTGTGCTAGGGAGAAATGATAGCAGCCCTGTCCTTTGTCCCTGGGTAGCTGGGCCTATGGTGGATCTCCCTGGGCTGGACACACTACTGTCTTAGGAGATCCCATTTTGGCTGTACCTGCCCTCCGCCCCTTCCCTGGAAGCAGCAGCTTGGGTGAAGATCCTGCACATGGCAGCTCGTTTCACCCAAGCCTACTTCAATGCTTCCGGCTAGCTGTACAGGACACAGAACACCAGGAAGCCTACTAGATTCTGCATACCCTGCTTAAGGCCTCCCATGAGAACCTCGTTCATACCTAGACCAAGGCCTCAGTTGTCCACAGGGTGACCTGAAACAGCTGAGCACTATAGCCTGCAGGCTGAGTTGATCACCTCAGCTCCCTGCTTCCTCTAAGTCCCTCTGGGGGGCGTCTTATACACCAAGGAACCAACTAGCTCAGACATCTCAGCAACCAGTCCAGTTTTATTGAGAAACTAATGATGTCCATCTTTCCCGGGTGACCCCAGTCTGAGCGAGGTGGGAGGTGGCATTCTTTCACAGGGGAAATCGTCTGTGTAGGCCCCGGAGGAGGGAGAGCTCAGAGTGGGGCTGAAAGGTAAAGGTGCTAGATGGTGGACAGGGCTGCCGAAGGGGAGTGTAGAGAGAGGAGGAGGGTACCACCTCCCAAGGCCTGGAGTTGTCACCTTCCAATTTTTCATAAATAAAACTTCACAGTAATAGAAGAATATCAACATCTGGGGCCAAACGGGCCCGTTTCTGGCCAGGGTGTCAGTGTGGGTGAGCTGCGAGGGTGAAGCCTGGCTTGGGCTGTAGTCAGGTATTGCTGTGCCTGGGGGGGGCAGGAGCACAGCTCTTTTGCCCTGTGTCGGGATGCAGGGTGGGGCTGTGCCCACAGTGAGGTTTAGAGGGGTGCTGAGGTAGTCGAGTGGCCGGTCAGGCTTCTGGACAAGCGCACAGAGCCAGGAGGCTGCCTTTGCAGCAGACTCTAGGGAAGCCTGGGGTTGTACTGAAAGCCTATGGGGCTTGACTTTTGGGAGATCCAGGGGTGTGGACGAGGGGACACCTGTGGACCCGCACAGGGCTGAGCTCCCACAATGGCTGCCTGGCCTTCAGGGAGCCAGAGGCATTTCACAGAAAGGGACTCTCCTGTGATGACAGGAGACAGCCACAGTCCCACTGGGGCCAGGCCTAGCCCAGGTACCTGAGCAGAAGTTCCTGCAGAGACCACCGGGGTCCCTTATCAGGATAGAAAGGCCAGGCTACAGGCCTAGGCTAGGAGGATCCAGGTCCTCAGATGACCTTCAGTCAGGGAAGTTCCAGCCGGGCCTCACTTTCTGGGAATTGCTGGGAGTTCCTCTCTGGCTGTCTGTACCACACCACACCCAGGGGCACAGAAGGCCCAGACCCTTCACCTCCCACATGGGACCAAAGACTACGCCATGCACCGTAGCTCCGGCCCCAGGACCCCAAGACTTGAGGGCAAACATGTTGCTGGCCCAGCAACATTAGAGCACCTGGAACTTGAGGGAACAGGTGAGATTGCTGTGCACCAGATCCCACATGGCCAGCAGCTCAGCAGGCAGCAGCTTGTGTACCACCAGCATGGCACGGTAGAAGCAGGGTTCCTTGTTCATGCGGCTGCCTCGGACCCGAGAGATGCCAAAGGTCTTGAAGCCCTCGTGGCCTGTGGGCTGCACCCCCAACACCTCCAAGCACATGCCCAGGAAAACGTCATCAATAGGAAAGAGCTCCAGTGTGTCACATGCATGGTGGAGATGCCGAGCTAGGCTACCGGACATGAGAAAACCCCCACCTCCAGCATAGGGCGGGTAGGTGGACTTGCTGTACATGACGGTGGGGATGTAGTATTTGTTCTCTTTTCTGCGGATGGGCCGAGCGTGCTTCAGGACATCGCCTACAAATAGGTTCTCCTGGGGCTGCCTGTCAGACAGAAACTCAAGCAGGTTGGTAGGGTTGACAAACACATCATCATCACCTTTGAAGATGAAGGGGACATTGGGGCAATAAATGTCAAGCCACTTAAGGAAATGGATTTCCTTGAGGGTCAGGTTGAAGAAGCTGTCAAGGAAGTCCCACTGTAGGATGTCACCATAGAGACGGTCCTCATAGGCCAGCAGCTGCTGATAGTGGGTCCGCTCCTCTTGCTTGGAGGCTGTGCCCAGCAGGAAGAGGGTGCGCACAGCACCCCTGCCCTGCCCTGCTGACTCCCACTCGTGTCCCCAGGTCTGTCGGATGACCTCTCGGCGATCATGCTGGGTTATGATTGACTTGACGACCACCAGCAGATAGATGTCACCTTCACACTTCTCTGGGTGGTTCAGCAACATGGGAAAATAGCGGCAATGGCGATAGGATAGAAACTGCTGGAAATGTGGCTCAAGAGTATGGAACCAGGGCTGATGGGTCAGGTTGATGTTAACAGAACAATTCGTGCTAATCACATCCCAGGCCTGGGGTCCCCGAGGGGCTATGGGGGTGGGAGCCGCTACATCCTTTGAACTCTTCCAGAAGCTGTTGGAATTGATCACATTTCCAGTTTTGGGTGGCCCCAGCGTAGGCGGTAGAGGATCCTGCAGAAATTGGCCAGGAGTCACACTGCGCTGGAATACGGTGATAGCCACAAGGAGGGCCAGAGCCAGGCACACACTCTTGTAGAGGGTTTTCTTCCTAGGAGGAGCAGTGGAGAAATGGTAAGCAAGCACTCCTAGGATTTAGGTGGCCACAGATGGGTTAGTGGACTCCTCTCCCTGGAACAAAAAGGATCCTGACTCCTTTCTCATGCTAACTTCCCAATTCAAGAAGCATTGAGAATCAACTATTGGGGTCCCAAAAACCAGGGACTTTGGGAAGGGGGTCATTTAACACCTCTAAAATACTTGTCCCCTGCCACACACACACACACACACACACACACACACACACACACACACACACACACACACGACAGAACACAGGATAAAGTACCAGGCTTGTACTGGGGAAATGCTGTCACTTTACCACGGAGACACCCGCCCATCCTCCAGCCCTGCTCCCCATCCCCTCACCTCCCGTTTTCATATCTAGTTCAGACCTAGGTGTGGACAGCATATCATTACCAGGTGACTTTGAACCAGTCAATGTGAAAGGTAAAGTCAGTGTCTACAATGAAGTTTTGGGGAGTCCCTTGTGGAATGCAATGTGGAGTGGGTTCTCGCTTCTTAGTACCAACACAGAAATGAGCCACTCTCACCCAAGATGGGAGGCTTGGAAGTGGAGTGGACAGACGCCATCATGACTCCTTACCCCCATCTTAATATCCCACAAGGAGCAATGAGGTCCCCAGCCCTTCAGCCCTGGGAAAGAAGCCCACTCTCCAGAGACCCTCCCTGCACAGGTAACCCCATCATGCCCTTTTCAGAGGCAGAAACCCTGGCCCTTCTCAGGAGTGACCCCGCCTGTGCCCCGTTCACACTGGGGCAAAAAGCATGTGGGCAGAGTGGCCTTCCAGGGCTGGAGCAGCAGGGAGATGGCTCTTACCTCCAAAGCAGGAGGCACAAGAGTCAGGGAGCTACGAAGCAGGTAGAGATAACTAATTCCCGGGTAAAGTCCACGGAAGCGCAGGATGAGCAAAGATTGAGCCTCCCACCTCTATACAGCGAGATTTTCCCAAAGGGCTCCATGACTTCTTGGCCACCAGGTTGGATGGAGAAAGACAGAAATCACTTAAGGTACTCTGCTGGGTGGTGAGACCCAAGGTTGACCCCTCCTGGGAACCAGAGCACAGGATCCCGGACCCCGTACTCCGGCCCTTGGGGTTCTAAAGAAGCTCCAAGCCCCAACTCCAGAGTCCCAGTAAGGACCAGTCCCGGGCGGCGGCGGCGAGACCCCCTGGTTTGCACGCACCAGTCCACTCCGTTTGTAAGAGCAAAGCCGGGAAGGGAGAGGGGTTGAGGCGTCCAGGGGAGAAGTCACAGGAGGCAGAGGGACCGGAGGTGTCTCCAGGGGGCGACTCTTGATGGGTCCCCGGGGCCTCGAGACCCTGAAAACGGTCTGCCCGAGCCGCGGCCGGGGAGCCGAGCGTGCGTCCCGCATCTCCCACATCCCACCTGCAGCTCCCGCGCCGCGCCCCGCATCTCCCGCCACCCCTGCTGCCCCAGGAAACTGAGGCTGGCCCCAGGACATCCAGCGTGCATCCCTTGCGGTCTGCGGTCCCGAGAGGAGGAGAAGCCCGGGGGTGCCCTGCGCCCCACAGGGACCCCGACTCACCACAGAGACATGGCGGCCCGGTCCAGGGCGGTTGAGCGGCGCACACGGATCACAGCTCTGGCCGCCGCGGCTGGGGACGGCGGGACAGGGCCAGGCCGGGCCCCCGCTGAGACTTTCTTTTCCCGGAGGCTGGAGGAGGGGCCGCAGGGGCGGCGGCCCAGGTACGTTAACCCTTCGCGCCCCGGCTCACGGTGGGGACAGCGACTGCGCTCAAACCAGGTCACCTCAGAGGCACGCCTCGCAAGATCGCAGGGGGAAGAGACGAAATCTCAGAGACCTTGAGGATCACTAACATCCTGAGGCGGCGACTTCCCCGCTGGGCCTTCACGGGGTCGCCTGCCTCTCCTCTCCGGGACACGTGGGGACGTCGGACGCCGCCCACCTCCACGCCCACCGGGCGCCTAGCGGCCTGGCCGCTTCCTTCTGGAGTAGTCTTGGGTGTGTAGAGTGGAAGGAGGCGGATAAAGGCTGTTTTCCCTAATGCTTTTTGCTCTGCCCTATTTACTTTTCCTTCCCAGGCTCGCTTAGACCTGTCGGCCATTTCAAGAGGAGATGATGCTAGGAAGAGGCTGGTTTGCGGCTCTCAGATCCTAGCCAGTCTACATCATCCAGGAAGGCTCTGGGTCCCTCGCTCTTTCTCCACTACCACTCCCCAAAAGAAGGCCCATTTGCCTCTGCAAAAACTCCATTCTTTTGCTTTTAATCCCAGCAGGTGGATCTTTGTGAGTTTGAGGCCAGCCTGGTCTACATGGTGAATTCTAGAGCAGCCAGGGCTCCCTGGTGAGACTGTCTGACAACAAACAAAACCCTCCTTTCTTGTATTGCCAACAAATCTTTCATTTAACGTCCCCCCCTTCACATACTTTTTTTCCCCCCTTTTTGTTTTGTCTCCGGGCCTTTATTAATCTGCAGTGCGTACACCATTTTCTCTTGGGAATGGGCGATACACAGTCACAGTAGAGGGAGGGAGGGAGCATCTTGGCCCAGCTCTGGGGCTGGTTATGTGACTGGCTGTGCAGTGGTGGTAGACTGGAGGGAACTAAAACTATGGATGAATATGCAAAACCAGGAGGTGGGCCTGGCTCAGCAGGTGGTCCCTGAATCCTGCGTCTGGATTTTCTTTCGGTCTGTAAAAATGGGGAACTGCTTTTCTGTGTGTCCTTTCCCTAGGGAATACAAGGGAGACCGGAACGCTCCAGTGAATTCCAAGGGTGAAGATTCCTTTTGGCCTTCCCTTGGTGATCCTTGGGCTAGGGTATGTGTTTAAATTTACGGTGGAATTGTCTGGAATGTGGTAAGTTCTGGTCAGAAAGGATGAAGGACCTTCTGGCCAGAATTTTAGAGAGTCTGGTACAAAGCCCTCTTAAGCTCCCAAGAAGTCCTGGCCTGAAGCCTAAGATTCATTGGCCTGGCTGCCTGCCGGTAGGAGTCACTGCAGTTGCCCTGGTCCCCACCACAGCCCTCATCATCCTGGCTTGGCACTGGCTACTTATCCCCATGCTCCTCCACCACCCAGGGTGTTGTGTTTTGTTTGTTTTGAGTCAGGGTCTTGGCGTGAAGTCCAGGCTGACACTGGACAGCAGGTCATTTTGCCTTAGCCTCCTGAACAATGGGGTTACAGGCATGTGCCAACACACTTGGCACAGCCCAGGCTTTGGGGTTCTCTCTTCTTGTTCTCTCCATATGTGTGGCTTTGAGGAAGAGTCTCCCAGCTCTTCACAAGGTGCCCTGCTGAAGGACAGCCCATTTGGCCTCGCACAGACCTCTCACCCCAGAGTGGAGCTCTCTCCAGGTGCTAGGTGAAGGTGGACACAGGTGTTTCTGGTAAGGGCTTGTGAATTCAGATTTGAGTGCCAGAGGGTTGGGTGTTGGGTCACTCCTCTGCACTTCCTGGCTGCTACTAGGGAGCAGGTGGCTTATCTTCTCCAGACCTCAATTTCCTGCAAGTACAGAGTTATGTGAAATGACGCAGGGGAAGCAGACACGCGGTGTCCCCTACACGCAGAGGCTTACACAGGTGAACTGCTTTTGATATTATGGTCACTAGAGTTTGGCCGACCCCAGGGGATCCTGGGATCACAAGGGACCATGGCAACAGTAATGAGGGGAGCCGTGCAAGGTCAACTCGGAGCTTTGCAGTCCAGTCTGGTCAGTTGAGACAGTTTGTCATGGAAGATTCTGATTGGGGAAATGAGTGACAGTTAAGTATGTGGGTGGGCGTGCATGTGTGTGTGCGTGTATATGTGTGTGTGAGTGTGTGTGTGTGTGTGTGCCTGGCCAGGCTCTGGTCATTTTCTACTGTCCCCTCATCCTGTTCTTTGTGAGCCACAGCAGCCCATCCCTACTCAGAAGCACAGTGACTCCACTTAGTCTGGTCCCCCCCACACCTGTCCAGCCATCAGGGCAGAGCCACAGCAGATGGCTATGGATTGTCTCTGAGCAGCTGGAGTGGCTGCGCAAGGCCAATCTGCAGGTGGACTCTGCCTCTGCCCTCCCCCCTGCTCCCACACTGTGGGGAGAGCACAGTGGGAAGAGATGGCAGTTATAGGAAATGTTAATGTGGGTGGAGAAGGGATCGAATAGGAGGCCCTAAACCATCAAGTCACTTTCTGTACTATCCTCTTACTGCCCCAGAATCGGGGCTCGGTGAGCTGGGACATAGAAGTACACTAAGAATGTCCCTTTCTCCTCCCCTGATTCTTTTGATAACTCACTTCTCTCCCAGCTCCCATCTTCCCTCTCCCTGCTACGCTCCCCCCTTCCTGTTGGGTCTGCAGTGACTTCAGATGTGGGGAGACCCCGACCCATCGGAGGGCGTACCGGGTAGCTATTGTTGCAGGATAATGTGAGTATTGCTCTGGGTTAGAAAGAAGTGAAGAGCGAAAAGTAAGGAGCCCTGGTCATTGGAGAGAGGCCACCATGGGCAGAGACTTGGGACTGGGTTTGTAAGCAAAGTCAGCTGCAGTTCCTTTAGCAGCAGTGAGCAACATTGAAGCTCATGTGAATTAGTTTTAGTTAGTGTTACACTCCAGGAGTAGCCACAGTTGGGGTTTCAGATCCAGCAGCCTACGTTCACAGCTGGGGGCTGATGGATCAGTGCTGGAGGGTCAGAGGTCATTTGTTGGTAGGAAGAGAGTTGCTGAAGGGGTGTTGTCTGTGAAGAAATACAGCATGGTTCCCCTGCCTGTGCTAGTGCTCCCGGGAGCACTATCCTGGGTTTGCAGCTTTCTATGATTGATGGGTCCTGTGTGACTTCAGGGCTAGCTGTTGGTCAGGGTGACCGTGAGAACTGCCCTTGATGGGAGTTTCTCTAAGCTCAGAGCCATGGTAGGATGCCTGCTTTGTGTTTTGTTCTAGAAGTTTGCAGTGGGTAAATCTGGGGTTGAGGCTTGATTTCTGATGAGGGAGTGTGAGAGTGAGACCTCTGGTCCTTATAGGTCACAGGTGTCCACTATTGAAAACCTGACACAGTACAGGGTGATAGTGAGGGGGCCAGAGAGACCCCAGAGAGACCACTCAAGTCAACCCTGGAAGAGTACCAGCAGGCAAATTGCCTCCCCCAATTGGTGTCCCCCAGAGATTGGCTGCCCTGAGAAAGTGAGGTAGGATCTGGAGCCTGAGAAAGACTTAGGATTGAACAGAGGGGACATATCTCCTTGGAGGCTGACTCCCCTTTATTTTCCAATTTTAAGTGCACACGTGCATGCACACACACACACACACACTTAAGTGCGCACGTGCGTGCACACACACACACATACACACAGGCACACAATGTGTATGTGTTTTTGTGTGTGCACATGTGTGCATGCAAATGTATGTATTTCTGTGTATATTATGTATGTGTGATTATGTGTATGTATGTGTATGTGATTGTGTGTGTGACTATATGTGTGTGAACAGTCAGAAGGCAACTTCTAGGAGACAGTTCTCTCCTTCCTTCATGAGGTTTCTGGGCTTGGTACAAGTGTGGAGCCATCTTGCCGCCTAGGTCTTTTCTGTAATTACGGGCCCAAGCAGGAGCAAGGAAAGGATGGGAAGCTGGAGAGAGTAGGGAGACTCTTCAGAGCATGGGGTGGCTTCCATCTAAGAGTCCAGTTAAACTCTTGGAAGTTCCTTCAGTCAAGGTGTTGACAGCAGACTGTGCCCCGTGTTTCCAGCAGTGTTTTCCAGTCTCTGCCTTGCCCCAAGAGACACTTTTAAAAGCAGCTTTTGACTCCGTGTTGAGTACAAATGCTTCTGTACATGAGAAACAGACTGATAAATGACATATTCCTAAAAGAGGAAAGGACATTGTCCCATTCATTTATCAAAGTAAATCAGGACCATTTGGCACAGTCAAATCAGGAAAACGAGGCCTGAGAACTTAAGGAACATGCCAGATGGAGGAGATGGTGTAACAGCATCATCTGGACCCGTGAAGGGGCGGTACCCAACGCTGCCGTGCTGTGGTCCCACTGGCCTGTCAACTGACCACTGAGTATAAGTGTCAGTGGACTGACAGAATCCCTGACTTTTCAGGCCCTAACTTGGTTGGCTCCGTTTATTGACATAGCCTACTTGAACTGTTGTTTTCCGTCTGTATGTTTGTCGTCTGTCCATCCTTCTAGACTGGTCCTGATCCTCACTCCTGTGGCTCAGTGCCCTTCTCACCCCTCCGACCTTCAGCCTGACCCTGTGGTGGTAGCATTTAACAGTACCCTGGGGGAGGGGGGGCTCATCAGCCTGATGCTTTATCTCACCCCTCCACACCCACCCTGGTTCCCTTTGTGTCCTTATCAGCTCCTAGCTCAGGCCACTTCGAACTCCTTCAGAGCTTTGACTTCTAAGAGTCCCAACTAGATTTAAATGGATGACACCCTCTGAGGTCCCACTCCCTGCCTCCCTACCTCCTCCTTCACCCTTTGCTCTTTCTTGGCCTCTGACTTAAAGGGGGAGCCAGGCCTGCTGGGATCTCTTTAGCCTTAGTGGCTACTCTGTAACTTACAACCATACCTATATACATAGGTGGATTTACTATGTGATACATAATGTGTTAGTGTTAGTAATTAAGACTGGAATGCAAGAATTTGGGCTTTCCTCAGCCAAGGCTACGGAGGAAAGTGGGACCAGTTGATGAACTGCCGTCATTGAGGCTTCTGTCCTTTGGTAATTTGTTATTCGATAAATTCTAACATTGTAGAAAGCGCAAACATGGCCCTCTATGTTTCTGACACA